CTTCTTCCTGTGACCCTAACCACATGCCTGAAAACAGACAACTCTTCTGGGCTCAGCAAAGGGAAAACCAACAAGGAATGTGTCTCTTAACTTTTTCCGTTCTCTGCTAATCAGTCCATCATCAGCCCATTCCACAAAGAGCTCTGTCAAACACTAGATCCTATCTGCAGTGTATAAGGTGTTTTCAGAAAACTGAAGACAGGTAAGCCTTCTCCAGTAGCTTAGGTTATCTTCAGAGTTATTTGTGTATGTCTTGTAACAGGAATGAAAGACATATCAGCAAACAAGGCACTGCCCCATCTCCTCATTAGCAGCCAGAGAGACTGGGGAAGATCTTCAGACTGTTAGCCCCTTCCTCCTTTCCTTCCACATGCCTCCTCCCTAAGCTTTTCTGTCTTTTGAAGCTTGCCTTTCAATTAGATCACTTCATACCAGCCTTAATCTTCAGTCTTTCTTCTTGGGGAATAACTACTTAGGGGCTGTCATATTGAATCAGATCAAATGATGACAGGGTCTGTGATCTTCCTCTATCAGTGACCTATAGCAGATGCTCTGAGTACTCCAGCATCTGTCCTCAGCTTTTGTATCTGGCTGTTTGAAGCTGCAGAAGACTCAAAATTTGACCCAATTCTTGTTGCTTTCAATGCTGTTTACAGAAGTCTGATTAGTCTATAAAATCATATACAGCTCTGATCAGCTTTTGTTGAGCTTCCGGAAATCAGGCAGCTCTGAGCAGAGTGCCAAAGCTGTGCCTGTACATCACCACACCACGCTCAACAGCTCACAATTCCCTGCGAAGCCTCTGGGCTAGAAAGGATTGACTTTTTTCCTTTTTTAAATATATTTTTTACAATTAGTCCCCACACTAATAGTGAACATTTAATTTGTAGTGTGCAAACATGCTCACTTCCATGAGCTTTTGATTTTTATATGCGACACACAACATTGTCTTCTCTACAGGGCTGTTTCTCCCTCCTATACAATCAATATTCTCCATAGTGTCCAGTCAAGCCGCTAGCCTCTCCTAAACTGAAACAAGTAAGTTCTGAACCTTGATTTGCTCTTTGCTGTGGGAAATTGCTTTACTGAAGGTTTTTTTCCTTCTCTAAGACACGATATTGGCTCTGCTGCAGTGTTCCTGCTAGTGCATTATAAAATCAGCATATGATTGACTCAGGCTTTCAAGAAAGATAATATTGGATTTATTCTGAGAGATATATGTAGGGATGGGAATACTTTCAGCAATACAACTCTCTTTTTATCATCTGTTTTTTTCTTATTTTACTCCATTTTTTGTGTGCTTAGAAAGCTATGCCTTTTAAAAATATCTTTTACAAACTTGGGAAAGAACAGCTGGAAATCTTCCCTGTTGTTGCAATAGTACATTAGTGTGATAAACAGTGTCTATTACTGACAAAATGAGTGGGTTTTGTAATCCAATGAAGCAAAGTGCATGCTTACTCCAGAAGAAGAAAGAGTTTTGCTTGGGAAGTTCAATTTGTGTTTAAGCTAGAAAATAATGATGTTGCTACTTATTTCCTCACAGGAGAACTGATGTTCACTTCACTAAAAGCACTGGGCTTGCCTGGCAGTAAAAACTTCTCTCGGTTGTTAGAGGTATGTGTACAGAAAGCCATGGAAAAGTATACAAGCTTTCATACATGATGGCTAAACCTTGCTAATGCAAAAAAATTAACTTCTGGAGTGCAACCATGGAAACAACAAAAAATGGGAATTCAGCCTCGTTTTCTGGCATCTGTGGATCTTTCCACGAAAGCACTACAAATCATGGACTTAAAATGAACAATAGGTTTGTTGCTTCACATTGTTTCTTTCTCCACATTTTGGTTGAAAAACCCACAGCATAACCAAAAGCCAACATAGAGCATGGCAAAGGAAGGACTTAAAACTTTGGGAACAGATGGAACTTTTTGTTATTAGCACTTCAGCTGTCTGGATGGGCAGGAGCTAGAGCTAGTCAAGGGAAGCTGAATCAATACATCCATTTGATGCTTTTCCCCACATGACTCCAGAGCATTATGAAATCTTACCAGCAGCCCATTATGAAGTGAAATGAAACAAAAAGTTTTATTTGAAATTACTTTTCTAAATGAAGGTTATAGTCTCATCAATACTTAGCTCTGCCTGCCTAAGAATAACAAATACACTGTTGGAAACAAGCTAACACCCAAAATAGGGATGTGCAGATAAGACAAAATATCTTGTCTGTTGACTGATCACAGGCACTTTGCTAGCCAGCTCTCAAGTGTCCAGGGTGACTACTGGAGAGGATATTCTTAACATTCTCATCAGCACTTGAAACCTCGACTTATCTCCTAATCCCGCCAGCAACACATTTCAACAGCCACTTACGAATGCACAGCCACTACTGTGTGAATCATTTCCCAAAACACGTAGCTGTCTATTCTGGAGTCTGCTCTTTCCCTTTCCTGCACTTCTATTTCAAACAGCACTGCTGCCCTAATTTGTTATCTGTGATTGCTACAAAGCTCTGTCAGAGCAAGCTGCTCCCATCAGTGGGCTCTGCCAGTGTGGACACGGAGTCAGCAGCTTCCCTTAGCTTCTCGGGTTGTAATGAAAGAGGACAAGTACTGTTTGTTAAACAACATGCCCATGCTAAGTGTGCTTACTGCAAAGTGCCAGATACCCAACAGTCACTCTCCTTTGCATATCAGTGGCTTCTAAAAAGACTTTGACAGAACTGCAAGATGAGCAGCAGTCTTTGTCTTACCTTTACTGCTTTCAGTGTTTTCAACTCCTTCCTTCCAGAGGAAGGAACAACATAAATACCTGACTTGTAAGTCAGCTCCCAAAAAGGCTGCTGGAGGGTGCTATTACATACTTCCCTTCCCACTACTCCAGCAATGACTAGCCAACGCAACAGCTGTGCAAAAACCAGCTAGTTCTTTTTGACCAACTTTGCCCAGAACATACCAGCTACAGAAGTGCCAGCTCTCTGGGTGTTAGGACATACCCCACTCTACAGCTTGAGTGCTGCTGTAGCACTGAGCCAACACCATATTCTGCCTGTGATCATGTATCACTCAGCTCATTTATCCAGCACACTGCTGGTCTCAGAGATAGAGCACTGCTGGTACATTACCTAGCTTGCTTAAAAAGCACTGCTCCGTACTACACCTGCATATCCTCACAGAGATAAAGCGGGTTTGGCCACTTACAGGCCTTCATGATGAGGAGCCAGAGGATCAATTAGAACAGATTTACATTAAAAGCTGCCTGACCACATGATGCCTCTTTGTGCGATCCCAGTGCTTTGATTCTAACACCCAATGCTCACTCCCCCAGAGATCAGTATGTACCACTGCCAGAAGGCACAGCCACAGGGTGGTCATTCATGCTCCTACCAGACCAACCCTTGCAATGGGCAGGCTCATTTTTGGGAAGAGAAGTCCAATGAACACATCCGCCTGCAGGGTAAAACAAAGCTTACAGCAATACCAAGCACCAGCTCCAGAGGCCCTTCCCTCATCTCACTATATAGTCCTAGCCCTGAGTCTCAGTGGCACAACTGTAAGATTGTCATGCTGTGCTACTCAACCCAACCCTGAAGTGGTGCAGGTAGGAATAAAAAGGTAGTGTGAGGCGGCAGGAGAAGGCTGAGAGACACTTTTACTCCAAGACCACAAGGCTGCACCCAAAAAACCCAATTTCTCCTTCCTCAGGTAACATGTTATCACATACACAAGAACTGTGCGCATTTCTGCTTCACTTTAAATGTTCCAAATATCGAGCAACATTTACTGCATTACATAACCATATTCATATTATACAGACAGGCAGCAGAGTCACATAATTGTGCTAAAGTTCTTAATTCAAGCAGAGGCACTCAAAGCATGCCAAGGCAAACAATTTTTGCTAGTGAACTTTTGAACTTCAGTCGAAGACTATGTATCTACTAAGAGGAGACACAAGTTTATGACAGTTAGCATCACTGCCAACCTGGGACATTTCTATTCATTGGTGATCCCAAGGGGAAAAGAAAAAAGTAAGAAAAAAAAAAAAGAGAGAGAAACTCCTTTTTTAGGCTTAATGAGCCAAGTAATAAATTCACATTCTAAAGCTAATCAGAAGCCACTTCCAAGCAGTGGCTCAGGGAAGTCCTCAAGACAAAGAAATTAGAAAAGAAGTACGTTACTATTGCCCTCAGCTGTAAAGGGAGCAGTTATAAATAACAACCACCAGAGTGTACCTGGAGACACCAGAGCAAAGAACAGGAACAAACTAACGGCATGAAAATCCCAGAAATCTTCAGCCTCCAGGGCAGCCTCCTACACTGTCACACATGCAAAGCTGCATTGTTATCTTTCTGCAGAAAAGGCTTTGCCCAATGATATCTGGGAAATAAGTTCTAGCATAACCATCAGTTTCTCCTCCTGCTTCACAGCCACACAAAAAGCTTCTTTTTTAATACAAAAAATCCAGCTCCTAAAAAAAATTCCCGTAAAATTTCATAGTTCTCTGTACTACTCCAGTACCCTGCATTCACTCATTTGTGTGGCATACTAAATACTGTGAAATTGAGAGCTGGATTCTGTTTCCTAGTCAATAGCGTAAGAAATAGGGTCACTGCACTGCACCTGAACAAGGAAGTCTAGAAATGACTGTGTTGTGACAACTTCTGGCGGACAGTATTTAAAGAAAACCAACCAGACTAACCCATGCCAAGCCCTTACACATGTACTACGTGCGCAGTTACGCATGTTCTAAATTCTATGCCAGTGACTCGCCATAATCAGCTCAATGGGATATTTCAGTGCGTTAACTAAACTACAAAAGTAAGCTCTGGCAGCGAACAAACCATCCTTCTCTCCCAGATTTAAGCTGAGGACATAAGGTTGCGCAGTTGATGACTTAAACCCAGAAAGATTAGGCCTTGCCATTATAATCTGACATTTCCAAATAGCATTTTCCTATGCTGTTTATGAAATAGAAAAGATTTTGCTTTAAAACCCCCATACCTTGAAGAGCGTCACAGTAATTTCAACGTTCTCAGGAACGGGCCATACCACCACCCCGCGGTACGGGTTCTTGATTCCAGGCTGCCAGCTGTGAGCCTGAAGGAAGAAGAGAAACAGTTATCTTAAAGCCATTATAAAAGTGCTGATTCAATTCCCACAGGACCCAGTGCATGTAAGTAGAAATAATATGTCACTGACTCCGAAAAGGCTGTGTTCCAAAATGTATGACTCTACTGAGGACCATAAAGGACATCATTAAGAATGACAGTAAGAAAACTCAGATCACTAACGGGCTTGGCCGGATTTTTTTCCAGTGATTTAAAGCTGTTTCTCACAAAGTCCTAAATTCTGGTTTTGTGAGTACATAGAACAGGTCAGGGCACTCAGAGCCTTGCAAAAAAAATGAGGCCATAAAGCCAGATATTCTGCAGCAAGCGAAGTTTTATTTTGGTTTTACCCAGATGAAGGAATGCTTTTATTTAAAGAGCGAATGAGTACAGCACTTAGTGCAGGCTTAACATTTACACCTAAATAAAGCAAAAAGACAGCTTTACTTAAGAAAAAGAAAACTGAAAACAATGATTTATAATGCATATTAAAAGCTATTAAAACTTTGACATTCTTAAGGATTGATATGTTATGGTACCTACACCTAAAAAAAGCTAATGAAAACAACAGCTGGACTGAGAACTTGTCTGCCTTTCAGTATCAATTTGGATTCATGTATAGTCTTCACTTACATTTTAACATTTAGTGCTAGAAAAAGAACCAAAACATGCGAGCATTTCTGTTTCAGAATAAGCATACTTTTTTCCAAGCTCAACTTAATGTATTTTGTGATGCCATGAAACAAATGACGGAGGGATGCTGATGCTCAAGTACTGCTGAGGAGCAGCGGCACTATTAGAAATCTGTGGAATTTTTACCAGAAAAGAACATACAATCTATTTCCTGTTACCTGAAGCCAATTAACTTGGGTTTTGTTTTGTGTTTTTCTTTTCTATTTTTAATCCTACAGCATCATTCATTGCAGTTTTATCCTCCTTACAACACTTGGAACTTTAGCTTAAGAGTGCTTACTAGACTAAATTTTTGCTTATTAAGATTAGTAGGACTTGTGCCTCAGGTTCTCAGGCACCCTCAGGTAACCTGAGCAACTTTAAACATGACTTTTCTACACCAAAGTGGGAGACAAAGGTGGTGAAACAGTCGGATTCACAGAGAGGCAAAAATTCTCTGCTGCTGGGTACTATAACCAGTGTGTGCTCCAGATGCCAGGTTCATATGTGACAGCCCCACCATATGTGGCAGCTGCTTCACAAGCCCTCCTGCATTTACAGCTGGACTTCCACTGGAGTGTTCGGCATCACAGGTACCATCAGTGTACTCACTCTTCCTCTAGTCCCTCAATTCTCACAGAGCAGGGGTCTGCAGATTAACTGCAGGTGACAATAACCACTAAGGCAGCAAGGACAAGGAGAGGAAGGACAAAAGGAGAGACAGGAGCTGGGAAGAGATGTGAAGCTGAGGAATGGGGAAGCAGCTGACAGAATCCAGCATGCACAGCCACTAGAGAAGAGAGCCCTACCTGTCTCCACAGCTACAGGTACACAGCGCACACATTTCCATCCCCTTATTTTTACTGTCTTGCTGTACATTGCCAGCTCTGCTGTGGTTTTATCACAAGTCTTTCCATCTTTGCTGCACTGATTAAAACTCCAGCTCCCTAAGACGCCTAGTTAGATTAGAATTTTCAGTAAGTCTCTATGCTTTGTGCTTGCAGAGTAAACTTTAATAACATGACTTGAGGCATCTGAAGAAAGGAATTTTAAAAATGGCAACATGAAAGAACCCAACTTCTACTATTTTGAACTCCGCAAATTTCAGCCTAATCTCATTACTCTAAAGCAGGCCTGGATGTATTTCTGAATAGCTGAGCAAACAACACTGTTCATAGCTTTACTCCGCAAGCGTATTTCATGAGAAAAAGATGTTTTGTGAGCAGCAACACACACACCACAGCAGTTGTACCCCTACCACAGCCACTCAGGCATCTCCCTTTCACGGGACCCGCAATTCCCAGGATTGTTCTCAGCTTGCCTGAACAATATTCAGCAGGCATAAGGCAGAGATCAGAGCCAGCCTGTCCTCATGTTGCACCCTGTAGGATAAATCAACTTCTCCTCTGTAGGAGCACTCCATCCTCTTTCCAAATACCAATTTTCACAAATAGTTAATAGGAGCTCATGGCGTGTCTGGAACTGCATTTTCCTGCTGCTTTTGACCAATCCTGACAAATATGTCAGACTTTTGATGTCCAAGGTCCAGGCACTGACAGGCTGCTCAGCCGAGGATCGCTTGTTCCATTTTTAAATAAAAACCAGAAAATCAGCATTCACTGGTGCAGGCAACGCTTTACTTCAAGTCCTTGATCAGCATTGCTTCCCACCAGGAAAGTTCGTGAAACACAATAAACACACACATGGATATATATGTTTTTCTGTCACTGAAAGCGATAACCAGCAGGCAAGCCCTAGCTAGTGAGCTTTCAAAGCAAAGCTGTTCTGAATGTTATTAAGTCCACCTTTGGCTTTGAAAAAATAAACACTGTAGCACACAAACAGCATGACAGAAAAAGGTAACATCAGAAGGAGAAAGGGAAAGGGGAAAGCAAAGGGAGGAAAACACAGAGGAAGAGCTAACAACAACAACAATTTAAAATTAACATCGAAAATGTTATTCTAACACATATTTCCCATGTCAGTGACCTCTGTGCTGCAGTTTCTTGAAGTTACATCTGGCCTATGTTAAAAAACCTTTTCAGCTTCCAAACTATAAGCCTGGTCCTTGATGTGTGATCTGTCAGGCCACTTCCGCAAAGCAGAATTCCTAACACTTCCAGACAGGGGACTGCTGTCAAGGCTCAGTCAGTCAATGTATTAAGGTGAAGCACTGCATCCGTGAAGTACGTTTCCACCCTAATCCTCACCTCTAACTTGATTTCCCCTTGGGTTGTGCCTTCTAGACCCACTTTTTTCTCATCTCCTATTATCCTTCACTAGCCGTGTCCATTGTTTCTGAAGCTAAGGCAACAGAAGTGGCTAAGCAGAAGTGACCTCCACCAGCAGCAGGTTCCTCAATCACAGCCCTCCCTTTGCCAGACTTATCTGATGTATCCAAGGGACAAGAGCTATGGCCTGGAAAAAGAAGCAGGAATGCTCTGTTGCATTTCAAGGAGAAAGGCAACTCCTCTCCTCCCTGCCAGTGGAAAATGACAGGACACAGCATAGCATGAAAGTCCTTTTAAATCAGGAAACAGGAGCTACAGGAGGGGTTGCTGAAATACCCTATAAATAGAGTAGGGCTGTGAATGACATTGTCCAACCTACAGCATTGCTCTGGCACAAAACTGAGGACTGTTTAAGAAAGGACGTGGAAGTGAGCCTACAGATTCACATGGGCGCTTCAAGCTACCCAGTTTTGAGATGTTTCCCCAGGTTTCTCTCTAAAATAACAGCAGTTACAATCCCATACAGCCAGCTTTGCAATGTACCGGACAACATCACTGTACGTGATGTTGTGAACATCATAACTGTTCTGCTGGCTTGAAATGGAAAGACACCTCTGCAGTTTTGGCCTCTGGTTTCAATGAGAAGGGAAGAGTCTTTAAAAATAGATCAGAATCAGCAACTTACAGGGGCCAGATAATCAAAATGTTCAGAGCTCCATATTATAAAGCACATAGAACACACCAAAGGGCTTACAAACTGTACCCCAAATTACTGAGACACTCCTGAAAGTACCAAATCTGTTGTCAAGCAGCCTTCAATAAATAGTCAATAACTTCAAACACAAAGACAGCACTCTGATAGTTGTCTCCATTCCCAATATTTGGTACTGCTTAAGCTATTATCAGCAAGGTCAGTCTTTCCACTCTTGCCAAGTGTCCACTTCTTGCTTGTACGAAACAGCAGAGTCTCTCACACCTTTCACCTCATGCATGGTCTAGACAAACTCAAGTCTTGTTCTCCAGTACTTTCTGCTGGAAAGCACAAGAGTGGCCTTAATTTTATGAGTGGCTTAATCGTGGAAGTAACATTTCCCAGCCCTGCTGAAACTCTTGTACTAAACTATCTAGTTCAACTGATGGCAATACATTGATTGAATAGAAGATGAGACTAGCTCACTTGAGGGCTGCCTTTTGTGCACCACTTTTCCTTATAATTACCCACCAGGGGCTGACCTTGACCTTATGAAATTGCCTCCCACTCTGCAGGCAAATTTGGTCTCCAAAATACAAATAACATTTCTGCAGAACTTGGAACACAGCAGGCAATTTGTAAAAACTGTTATTTTTGAAGCACTCTCCTCCAATCTAAAAAGCCTCAGTTACTATCAATTCTCTGCAATATAAAGTGTATAAACATTTGTAAAACCAGTGTCAGACAAGGAGTTTTTTGGGTAGAAAACCCAACTAAATCTACATCAGATTTTTTTTAGCCAGTTCCTGGGGAAGGTGAAAAACAACAAAACATGAAAGAGGCTGAACATAAACCTTCCCTTACAGTCACTGCTCAACTATCTAGGTAATAGCATATAAACAAAGTGATCTTTTAAATCTGAATAAAACCGGATAAAGTTGAAGACAGTCCCAAACCACAAATTTTGATTCCAAACATGAAGTTAATAAATGTCATCACCAGCTGCTCATCACTTCATGCAGAAGAAAATAACGCAGATGCAGGCAAATCAGCTAACCATAGTACATTATGGAAGTCACTTTCCCAGCCCCTGTATGTGTGGGATTTCATGACCTGGCACATGTGCCATTTCTATCATGACCAACTCACACTTTCTTGTCTCTACAAAAATCTTTCCTGACTCATCAAAACTAATATACCACATTATTTCCAGAGCCTGTCCTTACAGATGCTTTATGTTACCCATCTGCTTTCTCCCTTCTTCACTACCAACTCGTCTCATCCTGCCTCTGTTGTGCAGGATAATTGCATGCTACTGTCCTATAAGATCTTAGAGCTGACCATAATATTTTAAGCCTGCTGCAAATTATGGAACAGTTTATACTTACGAATCAA